TATAATTATAGCGATGATAAATGTAATGATTTTACTTTTTCTAGCATGATGATTGAAATGCGTGACTTTCAATCAAGATTATTGTAGCAATATGTTATTTTGTATAAAGATCAGTTTCAATATTTTTTCTTCATAAAATAGGAAACCAAAATTAATATCGATGGCAAATTTCAATGTACGAAGCTCCTAGAGAAAAGCAGAAAGTAAACAGAAAGTTACAAATTGTAAAATAGTTGTTCTTTAATCGGTGACCTAAATAAGATTATTGTTATCATTGTGTCCTTAAGAACCAACAAGTTTTAAGAAAATTATCTTGATAAGATATTTTCTTCGATGATTAGATCGAATTATTTAGTTTTTTCTCTGAAAAGAAACTGAGAGTCTATGATAAATAGTAGGAAAAAATTACCATACTTTCTCAATAAAAAGATATTCAAATTTCAACAGAGTAATATATATTCATTGAAGCATGTTATTCAAAGACTCTCTTACGACTTCCACTAATATTCTTCATACGACAAGAAGTTTTGATTCTCACTATTTTCAAGTGAAACCTCGCAAGTTGTAACTAGTTGTTGAACGATATACAACATGATATATTATTGTTTTTAAGTCGTTAAATGGACTTATCTTGTATCAATACTTAAAGGTTTTTCCTTATAAAACAATTTTTATGGATACAAATGACTATATTAAGATAACTCAAATTCCAGGTGAAAACACTTCAAGTATCTATTTGGTTTATAAAATTATGTTTTTAATAGAATGTATCAACGAGAGAAACTTAGAATGAAAACAGTAATGAAATCATTTATCGATATATTTGAACAACTGAGAGCACTTTATACCATTTTATGAATATGAGGGCTGGAAAACATTGACAGATGTAAGAACTGCTGGTCCGAAGTTCCTATCATTTTCTGGCTAGAAGCGGCATCTTTTCGGTCATTTCCAGCCGAACTTCTATGATGCTAGACACTGCAACCATTGAATTTGGAAGAAAGAAAGAAATAAAAATTATTCAAAAATACAATCGTATAACAAAAAAAAACAAAAGCTACGTGATTACTTTTTTAAGCATCTTTATTCTTCAACCAATTTGTTAAACTACAATTTATCAAATCGAAATGACTTAAAGTTTTAGAATGCTTCGCATGTTTTTTCAAATTTGATGCTTATTCTAATTAGTTGTCATCTACATTTTCTGTAAATGTGACTCAGTAGAGAATTGAGTCATGAAAAGAAATTTAAAGAAAAAACACGAGATTGATCAGAAGAAAGTTGAATTGAATAACTTAACTTAATCTGACTTCATCCAACAATTAGCGATCAAACTGTTTGAATTAAGCAAAACTATATGTTGAATACTAATTTATCGTGAATCAGATCTTGAATATTATTAATTTATGGAAACACAGCAGACACTCAACTTTTCAAACCGTACCTAACTTCCACTCCCTAACACCAACACATTGACGAGTTATACTCACTAATACCCACTTTGTTCTAGCCAGAGAAAAACTATATAATCAGTGCAGGTCGTTAAATGACTTCCATCAACACTAACACCAGGACTCTCTCTTATATTCGACGTAAACACCTCAACTTATTTCGTAAGTACCTAAAAAACATGCAATCCACTCATTAGTATACCATTGAAATACATTATCAAATATATTTATCTCAAAAATGCTTTAAAATATGAAAGCAAAAGCCTAAAAATAGGCAAAACTGCATGAAGCCAAGAAAAGAAATCTCCAAAAGAGACATAGCAGTGTTTTGTTGAATGATATAAGCAATGGAGTGGACTCGATCTGTGTTACATTTATCTGCTGAAGAAGGCTTAATTCAATTTTTGGCATTAAGTTCAAAACACTCTTCTACGCATTTCATTTCAAAAACGTTTGCAAATGATAAAAAATATCTAAAAATAGCAACTAAAATTTAATAAAAATTGTATTAACATCGGAATAATAGTCTATTTATATTCAATAATATAGATGAAAAACATAGATATTCGTGAATGTGCAAAAATATGAAGTTCAAGTTAATTAACTAATAACATTTTATGGCACCTATTTCAGTGTTAAGTAATTTTAAATAAAAGCTAAGTGAAAAATTCCATTTTTTCTAAGTAATATATTGAACATAAATTTAAGTAATAAAAGAATTCTTGCTAAGCATTTTATTTAAATTCTCAATGAAGAAGTTCAATTTTCTAGATAAATATTAGGAATTTACAGGTAAACATACAGTTTTTGTTAAGTAAAATACAGAAATGTATAAGTAAAGAATTTAATTGAACAGTTGTTCGATTAACAGAGCTTTTCCTGCTTTTTGTGATCGTCTTCGTTTTTCTTTTTCATCCAAAGGTACATCGTTTGCTGCTGGAAGGGGTTTGCACAGTGTGAATGTGTGGATGTGCATCAAGAGAAGATTCACACCCACACCCACACCCACACCCACACCCACCAACACCCACACCCACACCCACACCCACACCCACACCCACACCCACACCCACACCCACACCCACACCCACACACACCAACACCCACACCCACACACACACACACCAACACCCACACCCACACCCACACCCATACCCACATCAATACCACACCCCACACAATACTTATTATTAATTCTTTTTACTTATCTAATTTGTTTTCTTAATTATAAATCTGATTTTCTGTAACTCACATATATTTTCGAAGAAAATAGTGAGTGTAAGTTTTAAGTTCGAGTTTTTGCGGCTCCCCCCCCTCCCCTTACAGACAGACCCCCCTTACAGACCATAGCAACGAAAGNTATTCAGAAAGAACACAAAATTCTGGTTCTAATCCATAGTTTTCGACTCGTCTGAAATATTTTCAAGTGGGTCAGATATAAACAAACATTTTGTGCGAAAACTTTCGATCCACCCGTTATTAACATCATCAAGGCTTGTGCAATCAGCAATTTTTCTTTACTGGAGATTCGATCGATCGATTGATATTTTATTTATAGTATATATTGAAAATAAGTTCAAACATACGTTCAAAATACCAGTAACTCTTTCAAGTAGATTGCACAGAGATTACAAATTTTGTTTTGCTGATATGCAAAAAAGGGTAGTATTTCTTATAAAAAAAAGTTTTCTACGTTTTAATTTTGTTGAAGAAAAAACAAAGAACTTCTCTTAAAGTGAGTTGACGCTAAAGTGAAAAAAGCCACTTTCTGTAATTTGAAAAAATTTTCAAGCGCACACATGATATAACTATCGAACGTCATACTTTTTTCTGTGTTGTTTATTTAAAAGTTCTTTTGCAGTTTTTTTTTTAAAGTACGTCATACACATTTATGTACTCGTTTTTTGTTTAGTTGCATTAATTTTAATAAATATATATATATATACTAATTATTCGAACAATGCATCGTTAAGATACGTCAGTAAAGAGCTTTGCTAGGAAAAGAAGAAAAATAATTGTTTTATTCAATTTTTTAATTGATAGTGAATACAAGGAATTAAGTACTTGAATTTAATAAATTAAAAAAAAGCTTGTTAGCGCAGCTCCTTCAGGACTGAAATGTGGAACTCACATATGCTCTCTAGCCTCGTTAAACTAATACAAAAGCATAAAATGACAAAACTCTCGTAAACTATAATTGTTTTCCAGGATAATTAACCACTGAAGTAACAATTTCTCCAATTTCTGCATATCGAACCAATTTTTTTTATTTTTTTTCTACGGCGCCCAATTTTTCATTTTCATTGTTGCTAGTCGCTCATTATTTTTCGTTTTTTTAAATTCGTTTTTCTTAATTTATCATTCTTATTATTACAATCATTAAATTGATTGACAACTAAGTGTGTTTTACATATCTATGATATCTACAGCAGATTTTACACACCAGAGATGAGCACAGGACGGGGCGGTGCGGCCGTCCTGTATCCTGTCCTGCCCTGCTGAGCGGCAGGATGGAGTTACACAGAACAGAACAGGACCGGATGGAAGATGTTGTCCTGTAGTTATTTCTGATACTTATCATCGTTAATAACAGGTGATATTCGCTATCAGTGATATATGTCATTATTCTTTAATTGAAGAAGTACAATCATTTCTGAATTGGTCGATAAGATGGTCAAATCGGGAAGAAAAAAGAAAATATGCATAACAAATGTAAACAATGTATATCTATTGTTCTTCGTTCTCTTATCATAACATCGACGTCTCGTCTTTACTTTTACTTCTTATTGGCTTAACTGTTATTTAAGAATAGAATTGTGATGAATGAAAAGTATAAAGGAATAAGTTGGTCATAGAATTTCTAAGAGATGCCATATATATGCTTTACTTAAGAAAAAATAAAACATGCATTATTTTTACCGCTTAGTATTCTGTCCTGCCCTGCTGAGCGGCAGGATGGGGGTTAATAAAGGACAGGGCGGAAAATCTTGTCCTGTGCTCATCTCTGTTACACACTATCATATATATTAATCAAGTCACAAATGATAATATTCATTATTTTTCAAAATTCTAACTTGATCAATTTAAAAAAAAAAAAAATCCAGAAAATCTAACATCTTTTATTCTCAGTTGCTAAGGTCTGTAATGGGAGCTTCCGTTGCTATGGTGTCTGTAATGGAGAGAGGGACGAGGGGTGGGTAGCCGCGAAAACTTGACCTTGAAACTTACACTCACTAGTTTCTTCGAAAATATATGTGAGTTCCACAAAAAGGAAAATGCTTTTTCTTTAACTTTAATATTCAATATTCATAGAATTTATAGGAATTTACGTACTATTGGCCTGAAAAAAATTTTAACTGATGTAACTATGTTGATTCACTTTTCTTTTTTGTTCTCTATTTCTCCAATTATGCTTGATCTAGGAGAAAGGTGAAAAGCAAACATGTTTTTTCTCTTTCTTATCCATTTTATTTATATGCAAAAGAATTGTAAAAAACGAATAAATTTAATTTTCTTTAGACATTGTATAACGTACATCATTAATCAGTCATGGTATTTCGTTTGTTAACTATTCGTACTCTTTTAATTTGGATTCTTATTACTATGTTCACATATGCAATCTTTATACAAAGGTTATTTTCAGCTAAGTCTTCTCATATGACAAATAATATAATAGATTCTTCTTCTTCAACATGGCAAAGTAAACGATCAAAATCTCCTCCATCAGTTTTGATAGATGCACCTATATATGATGAACTTCTTGAATTACAATTTCGTCCTCTCAGGTAATATAGTAAGTTATATATCGATAAGATACGTCACTATTTCTAATCAGAAACAGTAATCTTTCAAATATTTGTGTTTATTCTTCTTTTTGCGTCTCTTTTACTTACTGTCAACAATGTTATTTTTCAAATAGAAGAAAGTATTTATTGTAGAACTCACATATATTTTCGAAGAAAATAGTGAGCGTAAGTTTTCAAGGTCAAGTTTTCTTGGCACTCCGCTCCCTTCCCATTACAGACACTTAGCAACGTAACCCGTCATTACAGATCTTAGCAGTCGACAATAATAGGCATCAGATATTGAATACCTTTTTTTAAAATGGATCAAATTATAATTTTGAAAAATAATAAACATCATTATTTGTAAGTTGGTTAATATATATGATAGTGCGTAAGATCTGCTGTAGATATCATGAATATGTAAAACAGACCTATTTGTCAATTATTTCAATGATCATAATAATAAGAATGCTAAATTAAGAAAAATGAATTTCAAAAAAAAAATGAAAAGCTTGTTAGTGCAGCCCCATTCGAGCTGAAATGTGGAACTCACATATGCTCTCTCTCCTCTTTCAACTTTATACAAAATATGTAAACTGAAAAATCTCTCTTAGACTATAGTTGTTTTGCAGAATAATCGATCACAAGAGTAAGAATCCCTCTAATTTTTGCATTTCAAACAGAATTTTTTTTTAACTTTTTTCTATGAGTGCCCTGTTGTCTGTTTGCATTGTTGCTATTCGCTCATTATTTTTTATTTGCTTTTAATTCGTTTTTCTTAATTTATCATTCTGATTATTATAATTATTGAATTGATTGACAAATAAGTGTGTTTTACATATCTATGATATCTACAGCAGATCTTACACACTATCATATATATTAATCAAGTCACGAATAATGATATTCATTATTTTTCAAAATTATAACTTGATCAATTTTCCAAAAAAAAAAACTCTAGAAAACCTAACACCTCTTATTATTGATTGCTAAGGTCTGTAATGGAGAAGGGTGAGAGGGAGCCCAAAAACTTGAACTTAAAACTTACACTCACTATTTTCTTCGAAAATATATGTGAGTTCCACAAAAATAATGAGCGGATAGCAACAATGAAAACAAAAAATAGGGCGCCCGTAAAAAGAAATAAAAAATTCTCTTCGAAATGCAAAAATTAGAGAGGTTCTTATTTCAGTGATTGATTATCCTGCAAAATAATTATAATCTACGAGAGATTTTTCACTTCACATTTTTTGTATTAGTTTAATGAGCCTAGAGAGTATATGTGAGTTCCACATTTCAGCCCCAAAGGGCCTGTGCTAACAAGCTTTCTTGTGACGATTTTGACATTTCTTTACTTTTTTCTGTTTTCGTTTATTATTGATCATGAATACATTTGAATTTACTAGCATGATAAAGCAAATAGACAAGATGCTAGTATAATGCATGCCGGATTAAAATATGAAACACGATGTAGCTGCTGTTGCGAATGACACAGAGATTGTTTTATTCTCTCTATTTTGGGATACGTTTCTTCAGTATCTTTATACTTAGCCCTTGACAAATGCATGGAGGAAGTAGTTTATATATCAAAACGTGATATTATTGATTTAAGGTCTGTGATGTAGGAAGAAAAAGCGTTGCTAAGGCATCTGTCACGGTTTGTGATGAACGAAAGATCTTGTTACGCATATTTATCAAGTGTGTGATAAGCTGCTCTTTCATGTATCTGCCACATCCTTTTAGAAGTTATGAAAAAAACAATGTATTTATTCTTTCAACCAAGAATAAATGACATATAATTTTGTCGCTTGGTTATTCACATTAGTGTCGTTCGGGGTCATATTTATACTACAGCCATATATGTCATGTTACTCAATCTACTTTGAAAGTGTCAGTCATAAACAGCAAGAACTTATTGACAAAACTACAATATTAGCTTTTCATAATTCGTGAAATTTTATAGATCTTTGCTAATGTCAATTGTATTGCTTGAAAACAATTTTTGACAACGTTTTTCTGATAAAATATGAACTCTGAATATTTCTTTATCGATGGTACAAAATATTTGTCTATAGGTTCAAAATACGGTGGAGATATTCAAATTTTTCTTTGTTTAGTTAATTTCTGTACATCCTTTATAATATTAAGAAATACAATTTTGTTCATAATTTTAATTCTAGGGTTTCACCAAGTGAACTTAGTAAACCAGTATTCGAACATAAATATATAAAAAAAAGTTTATCTTATAATAAAAAATTATTTCGTGAATCATCAACTCCTATTCTATGGTTAGATGAGCAAAGTGATGTTCGATGGAATCAAGCTGCTCAAGATGGTATGCTAAATTATCTTACTCAAAAACAATTTCCTAATCTAGATCGTACTGGAAAATCATCAATGAATAAAGAAGAAATATTAAATATATGTCGTGCACAATCACTCTTTATTTTAAATGAACATTGGTCGGGATTTTTTAGTCGAGTACTTTGTTTCGTAGCTCAATTTGGTCAAACACTTTATACTCCACGTATAGCTGTACTTCGTGGAACTCGATTATCAAGTGCACGTGGTGAAGTAGATGATTTCTTAAGTCAAGGTGTTACACGTTATTTTTTACCAATGTCAATTTGTTCAGCATATGAATATCATCCTGAAATGAATACTTTTAGAAATCTTATTCACGCACCAAATCTATTTCATATATCAAATAGTCGTCAATTACATGAACATGGAAACAGTATATTAGATCGTCCATTTATATCAACAGAATTTTGGAAAATGGATTATCATCATGTACCTATACGAAAATGGTTATTTGATAGAAAACAAACATCAATATCATATAATTCTTCAATAGATATTCTTTCAGATCATTCTAATGAGCATATATATGCTCCAAATAATGAAAAAAATGTTTCTATTGGTGAATGGATTAATAGAAATAAACCGGATGCATTTTCTTCTGATCTTTTACCAAATAAGGGTAATTACAAATTAACATGGAAAGATTATGTATTTGGTTCATTTCTTCGTTATATGTTTGTATTATATTTTGGCTCACAAAATTCTCCACGTATTGAATTTGGTGTTCGAATATTAACTCAATATTGGTTAAGTTATTTAACTGATAAATATTCTATATCTTCTAATATTTCTATATTTGATCAACTTGCTGGTTTATATATTCGTCGAGGAGATAAATCAATTGAAGATTCATTTTGGCGGAAACATAATCATTGGCGTAATATTTCACTTTACGTTAAAGGTATTGTTGATGAAGAACAACGTCGAAATAAAACTTTTAAATATATTTTTATTATGACAGATGATAAATCTGTTATAAAAGCGATGCAAGATTATGCAAAATCAGATCCAAACGGTACTGATGAATCATATGCACGAGTACATTTACGTGAAAGAGAAATTCTTTATAATATATTGGCACCACAGGAATGTTTTGATCCATTTGTTCGTATTGGATTTGAACAATTTCTTGTTAGTATGAGATTTTTAATTGAACATTCAGCTTTTACAATTGGTCATACAGATTCGAATGTTTTTCGGTTTTTTCGAGAAGTTATTTATGCTCAACGACAACATCGAACAGATGTACAAACATTTACATATGTTCAAGACGCTCCAGATTCTTTTGAAAATAATACAGAGACACGAACAACTATAAAAAATAATTAAAATAATTGATTGAATTGAATGATTTATATTTTTATGATAAAAGTAATTATACGGGAAAAATAAAATCAAATGAAATAGATAGTAGAAGATTTTTTATTGAAAAATATTGTTGATGATAAATTTTATTTTCTAATTATGTGAATATAAAATTAATAGTATTAAATTAAGGTTATTAGATTTTGGAGATTTTGCTTGATTTATATCTCATAGAACAAGACAAAAATTAATTCTAACTTTACAATAATTATAATTTATGGTGAGGTGTAAGAAGGCCAAAAGGCAATATATCGAAAGTTTCAACTAACAAGACATTCTGTATTTTTAACACAAGCGGTGTGTGTGTGTATGTATGTGAAGTGTGAGTTCTGGCCTTTTCTTCATTTATACACATACTTAACGGCCGCTCTGAAAACATGATTTTTTCAATAATTGTTTTACTATATATTTCAAAGTATCATGTACTCGACTGTTTTTTCTTTAAATCCTTTTCGAGAACAATGTCAAAGAGATCTACGATTTTCATCATTCAAGAGATACAGTCGCTACCAGAATTATTCGACCGGGTTTGTTTTCAATTTTTTCCGTTGCCTTAAACGTTAGAAAGAATTTAAAAAAAAGTGATTCTTGTAGAGAAAATTGTTTCCAACAAGAATATCATGAAATAAAAATTATAATCTGATTTCTAAAGATGTCGTCTCCAGAAAATCGAAATCAAAGTTTCTCACCATCTAGAATGTATAAATATAGTTTTTATTCAGGCCACATAGAACGATAGAGCAAACAATTTTCTACAAAATGAGATGCCTTCGAGTTGTCTACGATGTCTTTTGACTGAGAGATACAGCAATTTGGTTTTAGGCCCAAAAATGATTGTTTCTTAGACAATGATAAAAAAAGGCAACAACATATTTGATAAGTAAAATAGATTAAATGACCAGTAAATAATAAGAAAATGATCCGTTTTTTAAATATACTTAGAAGTAAAAAATTTAATTTATATCAGTAAACAACACAAATTTGATTAGTAAAAAATACAGATTTTATCCACANCGAGAACAATGTCAAAGAGATCTACGATTTTCATCATTCAAGAGATACAGTCGCTACCAGAATTATTCGACCGGGTTTGTTTTCAATTTTTTCCGTTGCCTTAAACGTTAGAAAGAATTTTAAAAAAAGTGATTCTTGTAGAGAAAATTGTTTCCAACAAGAATATCATGAAATAAAAATTATAATCAGATTTCTAAAGATGTCGTCTCCAGAAAATCGAAATCAAAGTTTCTCACCATCTAGAATATATAAATATAATTTTTGTTCAGGCCACATAGAACGATAGAGCAAACAATTTTCTACAAAATGAGATGCCTTCGAGTTGTCTACGATGTCTTTTGACTGCTAGATATAGCAATTTGGTTTTAGACCCAAAAATGATTGTTTCTTAGACAATGATAAAAAAAGGCAACAACATATTTGATAAGTAAAATAGATTAAATGACCAGTAAATAATAAGAAAATGATCCGTTTTTTAAATATACTTAGAAGTAAAAAATTTAATTTATATCAGTAAACAACACAAATTTGATTAGTAAAAAATACAGATTTTATCCACAGAAAAAAATTTTACCAATAAAAAGTATAATATAGTATAAGAAAAATAAATTCAAACAAAAGACGCAGAATAAACAATCAATTCGAAAAGTGAATGAGGAAGATAGAAAATGAAAATTAAATTTTTGCACTAGCAAGGCAAATTTGGTATACCTGATCTACTTCATTTTCTTCTCTCATCGATCGGGACTATTTTTTTGCAGCTACTGCTTGTTTGCAATATTTCAATATGGAAATCGTACAAGTTGCTTATAGTAAATCACTCACATATTGAGCAACTTGCTCGCGAATCTCACTTCCATGTTTTTTATTTGTTCAAATTAAGCTGAAGGTGAAGACAATGAAAGAAGAAAAAAAATATATATTCTAGTGTCCAAACTGCAATTGTGCTTGGATCCATTGTCAGACTGGACGGAAAGTATGCGTTAAAACGTGAGTTACATAGTTTCTAGATCGACATCAACTGGAATACTTATTGATGAAATCTGATCAAACGATGAGAAGCCATTCGATACAATCATCAATTGATCAATCACGTTTCGATGCGTGAAGTTATGAACAGTTTCGTACACAACAACTGCTTCAATAGAAAACTATTCATAAACTACTTGAGCTTTCACTTACTTCAACCATTGATGATTGTATCATCTGAAATACTACGGCTTGATCAGAGTTCATCAATAGGAGTCCGAATCTAATGTCAATCTATATACTAATTCAAGTTATAATTCCTACTCTTCAACCAATCCGACATCGGACGTGTCCAATCTCGAATCTGAGATTCGCCAGAGCTAATCCAATATTGGACGTATCTTAGTTTTGATTCTACCGTATATATGTACGTTGTGATTTTTATCTGTACACCATAGAAAAAAGAAGAAGAAAGAAGAAAAATCATCAATAAATCATTCTATAACACATTTTTATTTCTATATTTACCCATTGATTTAATTGGCTGTTAATCAATTTTATTTACTGATTTTTAAATTTATTAACATATCTAATTAATTAAAAACTGATCATTCAAGTAATATACTGATCATTCTTCATTCAATTTACTGATAACTCAATTATTTTACTGGTAAATCATTCAATATATTGGTTTTATAGTTATTTAGCTTTCTGATCATTTGATCTATTTTACTGATCATTTAAATCATAGCTATAAGAAAACGATTTTTGGATCCCTTCATAAGATTGCTGTATATCAGTCAAAAATGTCATAGACAACTCGGAGACATCTCATTTTGTAGAAAATCGTTTTCTCTATCATTCTATGTAGCCTGAACAAAATTATATTTGTGCATAGTAGGCGCTGAAAACCTATGATGTTTGATTTTCGGAATATCGTTTCGAAGATCTCTATGAAGAACTCATCTGATTGGTTGATTGCTGAGTAATCAAATTTCTATATACTTCGGTAGCTCCCGGATTTTCTTTCTTGAATGATGAAAATCGTACGTCTCTATGATGTTGTTATTAAAAGTTATTCAGAAAACAGTCGAGCACATCATATTTTGAAATGGATACTAATTTTGACATTTTCTGTCTTCTACATTTCTTTTGTTCCACATTGTTTCTGTTCTATATTGAGTTTTCGAGATTTTACTTTTCGACCTTCTTACGGCCAACCTAATTTATTGCCTTTAAAATCATAATATCTATTTAAAATTGTTGATACTAAACCAAAATAGGACTTTATAGAAGTGATTAGCTTATTTTTATTTTTATCTTTCAAGACTGTTGATATTTAATGACTTGAAGAGGATCAACTTTCTTTGTTAATGTATTGATCGAAACTCAAGCTGAGAACTATTGACATCATCAAATATAAAACTAATCTTGATGCGATACTGGATCAGAAAAAAAACATGTTTGCTCTTTTTGATATGATTTAGATAGATATTCAATATTTAATCAGTTTTATTTATTTCATACAAGATTATCTAGATAACTTTTGATGTGTATATCCGCAAGAAAATATCATATAAAATATTCTTTTCATATTCCTTTATCGATCATTTTGACATTCAAAAAGTGATTAACAATGGTAAGAAAAAAATAAAATTTATCATTTCAAAAAAGAAAAAAGAACATAATGTTTTTCGATTTTTGTAGAAATTTCTTTTCATTCTTATTAATCTCTGTATTGGATATCAAGCAAATCTTATTAGAAATACGAATTTCTCAACTGTATGGACCAATTTTACACAAGATCTTCAATTATCACATGCTACATATTCAATTACTATTCTTGATAATTCTACTGGAAATATTATATTTTCATTTAATAAAGATGTTGGTCTTGCACCTGCATCAACTTTGAAAACTGTAACTGGTGCAGCTGCACTTCATTATTTGGGTACAGATTATCGATATAAAACATTTTTAGAATACTCAGGAAGGATCAATTCATTTGGTTTTTTGAATGGATATATATATATTGTTGGTGAGTTATCATCGTTTTCGAAAAATATTTCTAAAAAGTTTATTTCTTTGTATGCATAGGAAGTGGTGATCCTAGTTTAGGTAGTTGGCGATGGAATGAAACAGCAGGTGAAGTAATTATCCAACGTTGGTTGAATTTAATAGCTAAAACAGGTATAAAAAATTGTCGAGGAATCGTATTGGATTTAAGTGCATGGCCAAGTCAAACACAAACAGTACCATCTGGGTATACATGGGGAGATATAGGGTAAAATAATATTAATAGATTATGTTTATTTTGATTTATTGAAAATATTTATAGAAATTACTATGGTGCAGGTAGTAGTGCATTGAATTGGCGTGAAAATCAATTTCATCTTATTCTTTCACCTGGCTTGGCTGTTGGTGATCCTGTTACTCTTGTCTACATTGATCATCCGCCACCATCAGTAATTTTTATTAATGAACTCATTACTGGACCTCCTGGTAGTGGAGAGCTGACAAGTTTATATTTAGCACCTGATGGAACCTACGGTTATTTACGTGGTTCATTAGGTATTGATTCATCAAAAAATGTTTCAATTGGAGGTGCTATACCTAATTCGGCATTATATATTGCTGATGAACTTCGCCAAGGTATGGGTTGGTCTAATGTCACATCGATCAAAATCATTTATCAAAAAGAAATCAATGCTACTAAACGAACAACACTCGATATATATCAATCACCACCAATGAGTGAAATTGTCTATTGGTTTGAACAATCTAGTATTAACATGTATGGTGAAGTGCTCGTAAAAACCATTGCACAGATGACTAATTCAAGTATTAATAGTGTATTACCAGTATATTGTGAAACCGTACCTGATATTGAACAGACAGCAGTAGCAACTATGGATGGTTCAGGTTTATCACCTGAAAATCGTATAACAACTTGGGCTATAGCACGTGTTTTATATGATGTTCGACAACGAGCATCTTGGTTTTCAGTTTTTGAACATGCTTTACCAACTATTAATGGAATTCGCATGAAAAGTGGATATATTCATAATGTTTTATCATATGCTGGCTATGTGAATCATCAAGTCTTTTCAATTATTACAAATAATTTTAATGGACAGACGAGTAGCATGCGACAAAAAATATGGAATTTACTTGATACATTAAAATAAATTTTGACAATAAACAGCTATCTAGATCTTTCTATATTACATATAACAAAAAACCTATAAATCAAGGAATTAGTTTTTTTTTGTTTCTTTCTCAAGATAAAAAGGAAAACAAAAATTATGATCTTGATTACATTTCATTCAAATGCATGATAATAGACATAAGATATTGCCATGGAAGTGAACAGTGAGACATAGCATTCATTCGTAGTGATTACTACGATACAATTCTTTTTTTTTTCAGTTGATCTAAATTGATAACGTTGTGTTTAAATTTTTTTTTGCTATTAGCAATGATAACTCTGATATACATGAATATTTGTTAGAGAAATATTTGATTTCGATCAGTAAATATAGATCCATGTCATAGTTCAAATTGGCTATTTCATTAACTCTTGATGGTAATCATAATAAGAATGACAGCAAGTAAGGAAATTGCTTATTATCTTTGTCAAGTCGAGTTTCTAACAGAGAAACGACTTTTTTAATTACTTTTATTAATTGGTGTGTTAAATACTTAGCATATAGTCTTAGAAATACGAGTTTTAAGTTGTATAGATTAATTTTAGATAAGATCCTTAATTATCATGTGTTACGCTTTCAATCAGTATTCTTGATAATTCTATGGCAGATGTTGTATTTTCATTCAATAAAAATGTTACAGTTAAACCTATATCTACCTAATAAAGTTAATAGCCCATACAGCTGCTCTTCATTACTTAGATACAGATTATTGATATAAGACGTTATTGATATATTCTGGAAATATTAATGCATTCGGTGTTTTGAATAGACATATATATATTGTTGATGGGTTATCATATATTTCGAAGAATAGTCCTAGAAAGTTTATTTTAATAGCATATTATGAAACTGAACATGATATTTAACAGACAACCATAACAGCTATGGATGATTCAGACTTATTACTCGAAGATCATATAACAACTTGGGTTATGGTATGCGTGTTATATAACGTTCGACAACGAAAATCAATGTGTTCCATCGTTTGAATGCACATAATCGAGTAACAACAAAAACTGTATGAAATATGATTTATTAAAAATGTTCTATTTAGTGACTTGCATCGGGGCCACCTCTGGGAGTGGTCGGGACTCCCTAAATTGCCTACCAATAAATTAAGTTGAACACTACAAGGTTGTTTTTTTTAAATGATGACTTTTATTTTCTGATGTTCCTTGTACAAAACAATGTATTGTGAAGGCGCTATTCACGTCTTCTCAGAGCTTTGTAAAGGTGGCGAGAAGTGGAAGGCAAGTTTGACTCTGATTTGTTCTGATGGGCGTAGGTCTTGAAGGGAAACCAATTCAACTTTGAAAACATCTCACTTTGTATAGTAAATACGAAAGAAGAAAACTTACAGTTCAAGACAACCTCTTATGTTAAATCTGATTTATTAGTGAGACATTTAGTTGATTTCGAGTCAACTCCGATATTGATTTTGATGCAGGTTTTTAGTTCTCTTCTATTCCGATTATATCAATAAACAAATATTTTGAATTATAGCAAACAAAATAAAATGTGTCGGCAAGTGTGATGTGAAAAAACCTATTGGATTCATTTGCTGATGTACGTAAATAAAGTTAAACGAAAATCAACTAAATAAAAAAAAAATATATATAATTTTTTTTTGTTTCTTCTACAGTATGTATATTGTTTGAATTAAGTACCTTTTGAATATAAATGAGATTGTGTTTCTTTTTCTTTTTCTATTCTATATAAAAATAAAAAGTAAAAGAGATGTGAAATGACCTTGAGCTTTTTTTTTTTTCTTATTCAATTCAGAACAGTGAAATAAAATTTATTCACGCGATGCTTCATACTTGTGTGCTATACCACTGGGCATTCAACTACTTCAATAATTTTTCTATAATGATTTGAGTTTTTGATTTTATCTAATTAAAATATAGACCAAATTTATTTACTTGCCTACTAATATAATCGCTTTTCTTAAAGCCTATACGACTTACATTATTTTTATTCATTGCATTTTTTTTTCTAATAATTGTCTTTATTTTTTTTTTCTGTATGTTTTAACCTTCCAAATAATGCTCATATGCGGCATTAATATTTTTTTCCCTTTTCTTCTTACCTGTTGTCGATAGAAGAAAATAAATTGAAAGAAAAAGAAAAATGTCATGCTGACGTATGAAAGTTGTCGTAAGTCAATATACGCTCAACAGCAACTGGCATACAGACAGCAAAGTTTTTTTTGGCAACATGACTCTGTCGTTAAAGAAACGCGTGAAATCATCATCGAACGTAAGCATTCTTTTCCTATGTTATTTTACGAAATATTCTAATCAATAAAAAATTATCATGGTTTTTGTTTTCAAATTCAAATATATAGATTTCTTCTTTTGCTAATGATGATACCAATGCATTAGGTGAAGTTCTTCATCGTTCGACTAAAACATCTAAATCAGCGAAGAAATCAAAGAAATCCAATCAATTTTTACATCCCGGTCTTATTTATAATCCTGATAGCGATTTTGAAATTAAATCACGGTCATCATCAACTGAACGTTCAATGATTTATAGAAGTAAATGTCCATGTGAGTCACATTATGAAAAACGATTAGTTGAATGTAATTATGAATTAATTGCTGATAAATTATTTGATTTAATATTTGGTAAAAATGAATTTATTCGAACATATAGACAAGCTCAACGTATTTACGGTTTGTTAGATTAATGAATAATGTTTTTGTTTTCGGATCTAGAATAAGTTATATTTTCTTAGATGATACAGCAACTGAATGGACTATTAATGAAGAAACTGAATGTCAAGAACGAACACTCACTTATAAAGTACCATTGGAATCTACATTAATTGGAAAAGGAATTATTTCAACACGTGAAAAACAAGTAAGAAATGATATCATTTAACATACAATAAAGAGATTAAAACCTCATTAGAGAATCATTTTTATATACTATTTAAATCAAAATGACTCGATTAATAACTATAATATTTCAATTGTCTCGAAGTTACATACAAAAAAAAGTGATTATTTTTATTGTGAGAAACGAGTCTTTCTTCGTTTTGTGTCAGGTCAAATACTCAAGCAAAATTTCATGGCTAGTCACGCACGTCAACATACTTTAAAATACTTTTCGAAAAGAAATTTACAACAATAGAAAAAGAAAACTAAATACATTTAGTTTTATACTATGCATGTATAAAGTTGCTAATGAAGTATTTTGGAAATCTAATAGAAAGTAAGTTAAACAAGATCTTTATTATTAACAACAAACAAATTTCATAAGAGAATCGAATATTCATTTTTTATTGCAACTTTAAGATAGCTTTTTATTGCACCTACATATTGATTTCTGTATGCCATGTAAAAGCTATATTAAGTCAAAAAGAAAATTATATAATATTGTTAATGATTAGATATAAATAAAACTAAATCAACATGTTTATCCATGCTAAAATAATTCATTCTCAGCAGTTTCAATGTTTTTTTAAATATTACTAGAAGTGTATTTTAGCATTGATCTTTTGAATATTACTGTCAATTCTTTTGTTTAACAAAAAAAAAGCAAACAAATTTTGTGAAACAACCTAAAGCGAGTGGTAAACTATATTAGGTAGGAATTTGCATCCCCACCGAGCATGACAGGCATACGTCTAGCAACGTTACGGATCATAGCAGACACCTTAGTAACGCCTTCCTCTCTTGTGTCACAAATCACAACAAACGTTATTGGCATACGATCACAGATCGTGACACATGCCTTAGCAACACCTTTTCATTTTCAGTCACAGATTGCAGCAAATACCTTAGCGACATTACTCCCTTTCCTCGTCACAGACTATGACAGGCATTGTTAATGTACAATTAAAGACCGTATATCAATAACGTCTCATTATAGTGTATAAACTACTACCTTATTACAATTGTGGAGAATAGAGTAAAACAATGATGAAGAACTTTATTCCAAAATAAATAGAATAAAATAAGATCTGAGTGATTAGTAACAGTAGGTAGATCGTGGTTTTACACTTTACATCTACCGGGATTTCGCTAACAGCTTTTAGATAATAACGAAACATGAAAAGAAAAAAAACAAAAGATTTTTTTTCAATGGATGTCTCTTATTTTAGAAAATTTTACATAAACAAGCTGGTTCTCATTACGTTATTGAAGCTGAAGTATTCAATAATGGTGTTAAATATAGTGATACATTTTCTCTAGCTATACGTTATTGTATTGTACAAACATCTGGAACAACAACTAATTTACGTATTAGTGCCCATGTTCGTTTTTGTAAATCAGTTATTGGTTTCATAAAACGTTCGTATTGTTTTTTTCGTACTCTATTATTTATTATCATTTCTTCTTTTATTTTTAATTTGGTTTCTTTTGCAGAAATTATTGAACGAAATGCATATTCAGCATCACAAGAAAGCTTTAAGGATTTGAGTATGTCAATAAATTCAAATAATTTGTTTTGAGATAAAAGAAATTAATTTTAGATAATCGTCTTCAACTTATTAGTAATTTTAAGAAGGGTAAAAACAAAGATGAGTTTGTTTTTTTTTTTTCTAAAAATAATTAGTTTTATATTTAAAGATAAACATCGAAAAAGTCTAGGTGAAATTACATTGCCGGTTCCATCACTAACAAATGGAGACGGTCGTCGTATGAGTCGACATGATGCACTTGGTATTACACCAGCAAATCAATTATTGAATTATGATGATAAAAGTATGTTGAATAAATATGAAAATAAATATTTCAATTTGATTTTATTTATTGTATATTAGATCAATATGCAACATCAATATTTTCTTATCCAAATAAAACTGTATATTTTTTTATTTTTATGTATGAAAAAATTTTATTTTCGTTTTCAAATTTAAAATTGTATTAATTATTGTTTATTTTTAGAACTGCTTTTCTTTTGTTCATTCATTTATATTTATATTTTAAACTTAAACATATGGATGTTCTTGTTGATAGTTTAGCACACTTGATAAAAGTGTAAGTTACTTTGAAGTACAATCATAATTTTTATTGTATTAAATAGATCATCATCATCATCATCATCAGCAAAACGTCGCTCATAGGCAACACTTTATGTTTGGTTTTCGTTTTATACTTATATATATATGTATTGAAATTAATCAAGACGAAATAAAATCATTTTTTATATCATGCTTAGTATCGTTTTTTCTTTGGAAAATTCATTGTATCTTTATTGTGATCTTTTTTATTTAATTATTTTCCATATGAGAACTATATTAAACGAACTACCATGGTCAAATTATGGAAAAAAAAGTTTTTTTTTTCTTTTTCATTACATCTATGATTAGGGATACATCAATAGCTGACTTCTTTTACACAAAAGATAGTATATTTGTAGTATTTAGAATCGTCAATAATCGCCAAATTCTTTAGTCAGACTTCGTTAGTGTCGATCGGTCTATTTTATGCTACTATTGTACTTGATGAAATACGATTTAACACGATGGAAGACTTGCCCGTAATTGATGCTTATAAGTATTGTAAATGGCTGATTTTTTAATGTCAAAAAAATTAGAAATTAGTATATTTCTATTTATGACAAAGAAAAATAAGAGTAGAAAAGTTAGCAAAACGAAATCTATCTGGTATTGTGTTATATTCTATTTATTAGACTAATGAATTAGTTAAGAATGAAACTAAATGAATTTCTTCATGAATAATTATTAAAAAAATATTTTTTCAATCTTTTATTAAATTCATTATACCGTCAAAACAATTTTTTAAAAGAAATTAGTTCGTTTAAATATCAATTTCGTCTATACATTTATTTTTGTCTTCTGAATAGTAATATGAAACACAATTTAATACAGAAGTTTCACAAATCTGTTTTCATTTCCTATACAATATTATAATTAATAAATTAACTCTTTCAGTACTAGTATGTTGAGTAAAGAACTCTTTTTTAAATCTCTCTATGTTTGAAAGACTTGCAAACACGACATGATATAAAAGTGCCGTTTTCACTACGGCACATAAAGTACTTCGCTACATACATTCATATAACAATCATGACACTAATAAAGTTAATACGGTAGTCAACAGGATAAGACTGTAGAAGATTACCACTAATGCATTATTTCAGAGATTGTCATATTCAAAAGTCGAACTAATTGTAATTTGACATGTCTTCAATCTTTTTTGTCATCAGTCACCACGACATTGATTGAAGGAGAAAAAAAAAACAAGAACATTACCTTCAAGAGTTTCATATATAAAGAAGAACAAATCATCAAGAAGTAAAATATCACTTAATACACTAAATAGGAAACAAACACATTTTCCACTTGTTATCACTTTAAAAAGACGTCCTGTTTGTGATAGAAATCAAGACTCAAATAAAACTGGTTATTACTATTCTCATTATATAAGAACTCTCTCGATAAAAAATTATTTTTAATAATTATCATACGAATACTGTGTTAAAAAAGAAAAACTTTTTTGTTTTTACATTTTTGTATTGATAATGGTAAACGTATGTGTTTGTTCTTGAACTTACCTAGCTTACGGAGATTACGATATATATTTTCGATGAAAATATCAATTCCACATGATAAGTATCTTAAATATAATATTGAAAATTGTTTATTAATTCATATGGCGATATCAATACCACATCGTATATTAAATCATTTAGATGTTCAAGACAATACTGTTTTTCTTCTATGATATATTCATACTTCATCAACATTATGCACTAGTTAAATGTATCTATCCATAGCAGTATCAGCTTAAAACTTCATAGATTTGAGAATTGAATCAATAGTATTATGTTGTCATTGTTATTAAAGAAAATATGAGTCTTCAATTGTATGTCAACAGCAATAGATTAAATGTTTGCTCGCGATAGAAAACTATTGACAAATATAATGTCTCCATAATTCGTATTTCAACTATTTAACTTTCTTTATATTGTTGTAGAAATAAACAGCATGATTTTTGTTTGATATTTATTTGTGAAAAGATTCTTTTGTAAGAATCTAAGAAATGGGATGCATAAGAATAACGATGGATAAAATAAAGTTTATCTTGTATTTGCAATTATAGATCTGATGAACAATTTAGATAAATATCATTCTTGAAGATCTTAGCACTTCATAAATTTTAAAATGTTTCCTTTATCGAATATCACATTAAGCGATTCTGTAAGAAATATTATTCAGATGAAAAACAAAAAACTTTTTTAAAAAAACTTCGCTCTAATTTTCTTGAAAGTCAAAACATTAGAAAATGAATATCTAAAAGAATGAACTTAAATTAAACTCAACAATCTATTTCTATACTAAATAGAGATATATCTGCATTTATCCGAATACGAATTTTATATCTTTCCATCTTAAATTAAATCATTCTAAATGATTTTTAGTGTTTATCTCCGTGATATTCTTTTTCGAAAAATGACTCACAATGAATTCATTAAAGTGCAAAATTTCAAACTCTATATATTGACTAGAATTGTTCGTAAAATAGAATTTATAATCCATCAGAGAATATTTTAATAATATGCTTTAGTTTTTTTTTTACAATATAATAAAATAATATTCTCTGTTTACAAATGTAGAATACTTTCAAATTCGATATTTCCTAACAGCTGATAAACTTTCGAAATAGTCATTTATTTCTTTATCAATTTTCTCATAAAACATCTTATCAGATGAATGATCTGAGATAATAATCATGAACAAATAGTTCCAAAGATCATAGTCATCATCCATGATATCTTTCGAATTATTCTTGTTTTCTTCTTTAGACTCAGTGTAAATTGGTTTTTCGTGTGAAAGAAAGAAACTATAATCATGGAGCTCTACTAGTGAAACAAGAGTATATATATATATATCTGTAAATCATATTCAAGACATAGTGAATTATTCCGATAAAGTTTCCTCTTTTTTTTTTCGAATGAATTTTACAATAAAAATATCTATTATTACAAATACGCGCTTCTTTGTACTTTTCTTCGATTTACCATTGCGATGATAGTTATATTCGGCTAGTATCCAATAAATATAAAAAATTATCATGTTTGCTGGTGCTCAGATTGGTCATTATCATATTTGTTTCTTGTTATTAATCATTTTAATTTCGATATTTAATATTTAGTAACAACGAAACTTGTACCTCATGGTCAACAAAAACAAATAATCGATGCTCAAAGTGAAGATAAAACTGCACAAGATTTAGTAAATATGACTATATTAGTACCACGATCAAAAGCAGCTATTGTTGTTGAAACTCGAGCAGAAAAAGTTGAACGAAAAGTTCTTGCACAAGAACGAAAACATGAAAGAATGGTTGAACAACAAAAAATTGCTCATCATATGGAAAATTTAATGGAAAAAGTATTTTAGTAATTTTCGATTACACAACTTGATCTGTTCTAACACAAAAAAAAAAGGTTCTTCATGAAACAACATTATCAAAAAAAGACGAAGATAATTTACGTAGTAAAATCAAAACTATTATGACTAAAGTAAATAAAGAATCAGATAAAATTGATATTACATCTCTTCATCCATCTGTTATTGAACATCCATCATCATCATCGTCTCGAATAAAATTAGATGTATGTATTGTCAATTTTTATACGAACGATCGCTCAAAAATTTTCGAGAATGACTTTTTTTTTAAAAACAACAAAAAGCATTACTGCATTAATATTGTTATCTGTGTGTAGTTCACACAGTCTTCAATCTATAAACCTCATCAACTCTGATCGTTTAAACATTTATGTCTAGATATAGTAATACTTTTTATACTGCTAGAGAATTCTAAAATTTGAGCATCGTTCAATGATAAAATTTCTAGCATCAAAAGATTCAGCTTCATCTAATATTCGTGAACGTATGATGGCAGTTTATGGTAACTGATACTTCATCATACACTATAAATTTCTCAATGAAACTGCAGTTTTAAATATGGATAAATAAATATTGACGAATGATCCTTGATGTGAACAATACGACCATAAAAATAATTAAAAGCTTTGCCATGATCAACTACATGTGACTGAAACATATTCCAGAGAAAAGATCCCTGAAAAACTAAACATTGTCCATATATCAATGCTTATTTATCCATTTGTAAAAGGACGAACCCGTTCAAAAAGTATACTGGATGATAGAACATTATCATTATAAGTTATCACCATATGTTCATACGTATTGCATGCCAATTTACTATTTCAAATTCAAAGTTTTGCCCAAGTTTTTGGTTGTCTATCAGCATATATGACATGATCTAAAACATATTGTTATATCTAGACATGAATGTTTAATCGACTAGAGCTCATGACGTCTATACATCGAGGATTGTATAAATTACACACAAACAACAATACTAATGCAACAATATTTCTTGTTGTTTTTAAATAAAATTAATTTCGGAATTTTTTTGAACAATCTTCTCTTACTTGTTTATCATTCATATATGGTTATGTATATCTAGTCTATTGGACAATCATCTCAATCAAATCTACCATCTAAATCATTGAAAACAGCAAGTCAACGAGCTTTTCTTTTATGGTATGATAAAAATTCTCAATGATATTTTTTCTTTGTTTATTATATTCGAAAAGAAAAAACAAACAGAAAATCTATAAATAAATTAATTTTGTTTTTAATTTAAAAATTTAATAAATATTTTCTAAAATATAAATGGATTGCTTGATTATGTAGGAAAGATAATTTAAAACGATTAAGTCACATCACGTAATCAAATAGTTTTCATTTAGCTTAATCCAAGATCTATTAATTATGCATAAATTATTATTGTAAATCCTTTTCATTTTTCTTTTTCATCTTCATCAACTATGTTATTGTTATTATTTTTGTCTGATGAATATGTGCTGTGATCAACTTTCTCATCATGTTGCTTGTCTGAATAACTATTAACATAAAAAATTCTTGTCTTTTGCTTGAATGGAATGTCAATAGTCAAATAATGTCCTACTATTAATGTTATTAATGAAAGTCACATTTTATATGTGAATATAATAGTTTGAAGTTGAATTAATATATAAACAAGATTGTGCTTTATAATAATGATCGATTTACAAAAATTCAGGGTATTAAATTGATCTTTCTTTGAATTCACAAAGTATCGTAACAAAATTTTATGTGTGGAAAGAAAATGTCTTTTTTAAGTGAATTCTTCTACGCAATAGAAGATCCGCTTTGGAGAAACGATGCATCGGATGTCAAAACTAAAGACGCCTGCTAATGCTAAGTAATTCATTTCTTACAAAGTTACAACTTTATATTTATATCAAAATATACCTACTTTTCAAGGTTTTGAACTGAAAATTTTTGAAGAATAGAGATCAATATTATTTTTGAGAGTTTATAATACTAAAAATTCCTTCCCAAATTTTTGAAATCGTATTAGTTTTTGAAAAATTTTTATGAGTATAACTGCGATACAATAGAACATCACGAGTTTTCTATTTCAGGTAAGGATTTAGGGCTTCAAATTTATTTTTAATTCATCCGCTTAACATAAATAATGAGTAGCCTGAGGTAAATGAATATACTCAATGACTGTTGATGAATATAATTATAATAAATACAAGAAGATTGTTTACGATAATTGTATTGAATAAATATTTTATGTTAATTGGTCGTTGATATTTAGAAGAGAGTCTCAAGTATTGAATGCGTATGCTTACTTTAAAATTTTTTCTTTATCTATCTTTTAATTAATTAATTTCTTTTATTAAAGAAGTCAACCGAAATTACTTAGTAGTATATATTAGTTTATATTTATAGTTACCATTAACATCATATGAAATAGCTTCTTTGTTTGGTATTTCTAACTTTATTATTGTCAATAATCAATTATAGAAGAAATTTTCATAGTTTGATGTATGTACTCCATCAACTTGTGTTATAAAAAGATAATTATTGTGTTCTGTATTGAGCTAATCTCTACTAGCATAAGAATAGTAACAAAATTTAATCGGGATTGTTTTGTAGTTACTCATCTGTAGATTATAAATAGTATAAAAGAACACAATGAATGGTTTCAAGGATTAGATTATTGTTTGATTTACATCTTGTTGGAATATAAAACTCAATGTTAATATAATTTATATTTGTTTTTGTTAATGTTTTCAACTTCGACAACATAGTTAATGAATCTTTAAAATCTATCGCTAATACTTTTTGAACTTTGATGACGAAAAATACGATGAAATTAAACTTAATTATTTAAAGATATAAAGGGTGTTCCGGAAGTTCTGAAACGATTTTAAAATTCACTGTTCTCGCATTCTACAAAAGCAAATTCGTTAAAACTTTGGGAGATTGTTGTACATATATAGTACTACATAACTACAAAGTTTGAGGTCTTTAGGTTGTACTATGGATGAGAAACTGTAACAGCACTGACGTGTACTATTTTTAAAATTTTCCTGGTCATCTTCGGGGTGTGAAACATTTTTTTATTTCGTCTATATCTTGGGTTAGGTAAACGATAAAATTTCGAATTTTTCTTTAAAAGATACACCGTGAAAAGCTCTACAAAAACTGCAATAACAAATCCCTATTGACTTGTGTTAATGGTTTCTGCCATACTCAAAATGAAAAACCTACGTGATAGTACTACTTCTCACTATATTGTGCGTAATAAAGAAAGGTTTGGAAGACTTTTTTGCTTTTCAATAGGAATTTGTTTATGCAGCTTTTGTAGAGCTTTTGACGGTGCATCTTTTGAAAAAAAATCAAGATTTTATCATCTACCTAAGCCGAAATATAGATATTTTGGCAGACCAGGAATACAGGAAAATTTAAAAAATAGTACATCATAGTGTTGTTACAGGTTCTCCTCTATACTACAACCTATAGATCTCAAACTTTGTATTTATGTGGCACTATATATGTGCAATAATATGCCAAAGTTTCAAAGAGTTTGAGTTTGTTGAATGCGAGGACGATGAATTTTAAAATCGTTTCAGAACTTCCGGAACACCCTTTATGATTTTATTCTTAAATTTTTATTGAATATAGCTTTGAGTACTAAATACTGTAATATTTTTCCAGAATATGAGTATTTAAATAGAAAAAAATGCTATTCTTTGGTCTACTAATAAACTCTAATGAATGACGCCCCGTAAAAAGGAAATATTAAAAATATGAACTGAATAAACTTAATAGAAGAAAAAGACGAAAGTATTTTAATGAATATTATATAAAATAATTTTTTTTCTAGTGGCGGATCCAGGAATTTTTGAAGGGAGTGGCGGATAAGAGAGAAATGAAGTCCAATAAGCGGAGGGAGTGGCGGTTTAGACAAAAATGTAAGATATCCATGGGAAATCACTAGGAAACAACGCGAAGTTAAGTTCGAAAGGGGTGGCGGTCGCCACCCCCTGGATCCGCTACTGTTTTTTTTCTCTTCTTTAAATTCAGCGGAAGTCAATTGATATTTCCCCCTATGCAATTATTTGTTTTTATTACTACATTTAATTTTATATAGAGCGAGAAAGTAAAAAAATATGCTACCTCTTATCGTATTGTTACATTTTACAATAAATAATGTTTAACGTAAAAAAAAAAAATTTATTTCCTTTTTGTTTTCTGTAAAGTACAATGTGAACTAAATGAATTTCTTTTCTAATTTACTACTGTTGTTTGTATTTGTTTTAATACATATCAGTTCAATTAGTGTTCAACTAATTAATAGCTTATATATCAACATAATAAAATAAGGAAAAAATCGTTTTGTCAATAAAATATTAGAGAAGATCCAATTCCAAATCATTTCATATATCACTATTAACTATGTTCATTTTCAGAAGAGAACATTGTTTTTATCTTTGTTGATTGTTTATACTTTAACATTCAGAAGCTTTTTATAATCGCATACTCCTGCTCTATGTGAGTAATGAATAAACTCAAAAGATCATCCATTTTCAGTTATTATCAATAGAAGAATATAGTTATGCATATTGTAAATATGCGTTTCCATATGTCATGCACGTACCTTATAACTGATCTTAATGATAAATCTAATAATGTTGATCCAGATGTGAACAGATCTTATGGGATATATGAAATGCAAATTTTTTTCTACTGTAGTCTCTGTGTTTTAAAGTTCTTATATTGTACAAGGTGATTATATTATAAAACACAGTACATATCTTATACTCCTTTATATATATTTATATGTTAATAAATAGACGATGTGTAGTAATAAAAAACAAAGGAAAGTCAATATCAAGTGATCTTTACTGTATTTAATACGAATAATATCGTTTTATACTAACAAAAAATTATGAATTATTTCTAAAATTCTACTTCATTTTTCTTCTATTTAATATCTATTGTGTTTTATTTTGTCGTTAAAAAGAACATCTAAATGAATGATCATTAATCTTCTATTTCTATAAAAATGAGTTACATATTTCTTACAAAATAATCGATTATTATTCTCTATTAATGGTTGCCATTGAAAAACAGTGTTAGAATGATATTTGATTTATTTGCTGTCAATTTAGTTTTCCCAATCACTATAAAAAAAGATTGACATGAAAACATGTCAAGTTGTCATTTAAATATTTCATTTTAGTCTAAAAATATCACGAAAATATCTCAATACTATATTTACTACTGATATATATATATATATATTGACTTATGAATCTATTTTTGATATTAATAATTCAATTGACAAGTTAAGTATGAATATTAGTATAAGATTAAAATATCTCAATATGCGTGACCATAAATCATTATTTTATAGTTGCGACTTTTTTATTTTTGTTGTATTAGTGAATTATAGAATATGATCAATACAAATGATGATAAGAATTAATTTTTTTATGATAACTTTCTCACAAATTCAGTTTTTTTTATTTATGTTCTTCAAATTATATATGTTATTGTAGTATATTTTCTTTTTCTCAAGAAATAAATTTACGTATATTGATGAACTCTGTAGTATAGTAATATTGTATTCAATAAAATATAAAATCTTTGAAAGATAATCAATATTCATTACATGTTCTATTGAATGAGTGAATGAATGAATAAAAATAAACAATTGTCAGCTACATTAAGACTGTCCAAATGAAGTACTATCATCATTATCATCTGGGATTGAATGCACGAAACGAAAGAAATATGTATGATTGATTGAAAAAAAAAAGTCTATCGTTCAAATGAGACCTCGATTTTCTTCTATTCGCATCTAAGCAGCAAAAAGAAAAGGAAAAAATCTTACACAAAAATCTTATCATTAATATCATTAGTAATAATAATAATTATTATTATTTGTGAGTAGACTTCATTGTACGTTAATATGATCATTTTCCTATTGTGTTAAGATTAGTAAGAAAAGATATATTTTCGGCAAATATTCATTATTTACTCAAACAATAACAACGACGAATGAAAAATCAAGAAAGGAAATTTCCTGTATACTTAGATGATATCGTATCTATTGAAGTACTAAAAATAATTTATGATCAATTAATGGAATACAAACGATAAATCCTACTTAGTTGGTACTTGTTGATACTCAATAAATAGCTCCTTTTTGTGTTTGTA